GCTGGCGGGGCCATCATGGGGTGATCATGACGGTGTTTGCATTGTCCCAGTGGACCTTGATGATAGACTTCTGGATGAGTGGAATCGGTGGGGACGTGTACAGAAGGCTGGTGGATCAGCTGGTCATGAAGGCGTTCCCCCGGGAACAACGACCGATCCCTGCTCAGGAGCAGTAACGACTGCACTTCTTGTTGTCTGCAGAGGCAAACACATCCACATCTGAGTTCCATCTGCCGTCTGCTCCAACGATGGCAGAGAAGACGAAATATCTTGCTATTGAATGTCCACTCGTGGCTGCCAGACTGGAGCCTGCTGAGATGGTTCACTAGGGTATTCCCCTCCGATGCCACATGAGCTGCCACAAGGTAAATGTGGTGGGCATAACACTATTCCCAGAGCTGGATGACCAGATAAAGGGGGAGGGAATGCGTGCCCCCTTGCTTGTTGATATAGAAGACAGCTGTCATGTTGTCCGAAGCCACCTGAACCACATAGCCTGCAATTAGCCCTACGAAAGCTCAAAAAGCCTTGACAACTGCAAGCAGCTCCAGGAGATCTCTGGGAAGTTGAACCTCGCTTTGAAACCATAGGCCATAAATGATCATGTCTCCACAGTGCGGGCTCCAGCCTGTTGGGCTGGCATCCGTGGTCAGTTGGATTGACAGAGCCAGAGGGCCAAACGACCTTCCCACCAATAGGTTCAAAGGACAACCCCACCAGGTCAACTGGGACACCAGCTCAACGGTGACCTCTAGCAGCTTGGATGGAGGATCAAGTAGCACGTTGGATCAAGTAGCTCATTTTCAGGTGGGCGTGCTGGACCACAGTTGTGGTAGATGCCATGAGACACAATAGACATTGAGCCTGCTGGCCCAATACCGTAGCTCCTAGGAGGAAAGACTTCAATGTGAGCTGGATCTTTGCTATCCTGTCCTCTGGCAGGTAAGCTCGGCCCAGTGTGGAGTTAAGGACCGCTCCAATGTAAGTCATGTTGAGTAGGTTGTAAGGTGGACTTCACCAGATTGACTCAGAGACCTAGGGCTGATAGAAGAGAGTTATCGCCATGTCCTGCTTGGCCCAGGCTCGAGATGTGCCACCAGCAGCCAGTGAGCCAGGAAAGGGAAAATAGTGATGTCTTGAAGGCGAAGATGTGCTGCCACAGGGGTGAAACACTTCAGGAACACTCGTGGGGCAGTTGACAGCCCAAATGGAAGGGCTTGAATTTGTAAGTCACTCCTTTGATAGAGAATCTGAGAAATCTGGTCCAGGTGGATGCTGATGTCTTTGAGGTCTATAGACATCTTTGAGGCCTATGACCATAAACCAATCATTTAGTCTGAGCATCTGGATGGTGCCCTTGAGAGAAATCATATGGAATCACCAAAGAGTGATATAAGGTGAGGTGATGGAAATCCAAGATGGGGTGAAGTCCTCTGTCCTTCTTCGGAATTGTGAAGTAAACAGAGTAAAAGCCAAGTGTCACGTCTGGGTGGTGTACCTGCACAATGGCATCCTGTTAGTCCTGAGCAACCTCGTCATAGGAAGAGCATCATAGAAAGAGTATCGAACTCAATGGCATAACCCCTGGCTATGATGGTGAGGACCCAGGAGTTTGTGCTGATGCTTCGCCAAATGGTGAAAAAGGGGGCTAGGCAAATAGAGGGGGCAGTGGCTGCTGGTGGATGGAGCAAGCCAAAGATTATGCTGGGGTTTGTGGTCAGGGTGGCGTGTCTGCTGCCATGGGCACTGTCTGCCAGCCTGCTGGCGAAAGGGTGTAGACGGAAGACCTGAGGCCTGAGGTCTTATCGTCCAAGAGTGTTGTCTTTTCAGGCCAGTCTCACACCACTTGAAAAGGCCTGAAGCAGCCACAAACTTAATACTTAATGTGGTGAAACAAAGAAATATAGTCCATTTTTCTTTTGCTTTTCGTGTAACTCACAGGTCTGAGTCTGAAATCCGGGAGGTCCAAAGGTAAGTTTGTGTGTGTTTTTTTTTAATGAAATAAGGTAAGCTCCTAAGCTGAGGTGCTGCTGCGGTGGCAGCTAAAATGGAACTGAGGCACTTGGTGCCAGGGCAGGGTTAAGGGCAGAGTGTGGAAGGTGCTGGCACCATGTGCTTATGCTCTAGAATATGCCAAGGTTTCTCTGCGTAGGTGCACTAAACCAATTAGTATGCATTCACAGTGACCACTCGAAGAACCTTATGTGAACATCAGTAGAATCCTGATGGGCAGTATTTGCAAGGTGGTGGGTGCATGCCAGGTGTGTGCTGGGTCCATGACTGACAACACACTTAGGCATATGATGGACATCTGACTTGACACCTCCTGCTGTCCCTCTTGCACATCAGTAAATATCCAGTAGGATTCTGCCTGTCTGTGTTCCCATTGCTGAAACTCAGTCTTCCATTAAAAACCAAAGTAGATCCTGAAAGCCTAAAATCTGCATAGCTCTAAAGAAAACTGTGTTGAGAGGGCAGAATACCATGTCCTATTGCAAGCCATTTTGCTTCCTGAGGCGTAAGGGCCAAGATGGTCCCTTCCCCTTTCCACATACAGAGATCATGGTGGCAGTGGATTGTTACTTTAATCTGATTTCTACAATGGTCACAAGTGAGCATCCTCCACCACCCTAGGGAGGGCTAGGAGGCCAGGCCATGTGCAGAAGGGAACACTGATGGGCAGAAGTGGAATGGCCAAGGACCTCCTCTACCTCACAGTACAGCTAGTCCTGTGGCCTCTTCTCAACTACCGAACAGGAAGTGCTCATAAAAATGAAAGACCCTCCTAGAAAGTACCCTCTGCTGGTTGTTGGCAAATAGGTGAAGTTCACAAGGGGTATGTGTGAAAGTGGCCGTAAGAAAAAAAGCACACACAAAGGGAGGCCTGGCCTGTTTGTGATCTTATAAGCAAGCTGCACAAGCAGGGATGCAGCAGACTCGACTATAAAGTACAGCAAAGCTCGGGATGTTCAAGGCAGGCAACATTTTGAGCAATAGGAATCATGATTTCATCTCTCAGTAACCCCTTCCCTATTTTCTCTAGTAGTGTGGGGGGGAATCAACACAATTACTTCTGTTTTTGGATTCCCCTTGTGGCACTGAGCATTATTAAGGACAAGGGCTGACCTGCACTTGGCAAAGCACGATGCAGATGGTTGTGTTCATCTTGGGGGTTCACACATGTTGTATACTTTTGACGCACATGAGCAAACAGACCCTTAGGGAACTGAGTAAAATCTTTTGAACCAGAAGGTACTTCTAACACCCAGACTAGCTACCACGAGGAAGATCTAGATAGATGTTAGTGGCCTTCAGCCATTTTTGGTGGCCCTAGATCTCCCCACCCTATATTAAACAGAGAAGAATGGAGAATTGTTGTGCTTGAAGCTTCCACAAAGAGTCGGGATGTGGGGAAATAGATTGCAATTTGGCTCCCTTGTGGAGCAGTCCAGTAAAATCTGTCACCTGGCGATTACATGACACACAAGGAAATCTGTTCCTGCCCAACCCTGGATCTGTGCTCAAACTGGACCTTTTCTGTTCAGCTCTAGGGCTTCTACTTCTGGGGACTGGGGTGGAGCAATTTCCTAGCAAATGTAAGGATTGCTTTGAAGAAGATCACTCCCATTAAAGCAGACTTTCCAGTGTAATCATGTGCATGCTTTTGTAGCTCTCTGGTCACATCCTTATTGATTTTTTTTTATACACTTTTTTTTTTACTCCCCATGAGTTTTAACGCGAAGGGGAGGGTGGAAATTGGCAAAGGACTTCCAGTCACTTCCAGTTTTGTGAAGAGAGAGAGAGAGATGCAGCCCATGTTGCACCCTCCCTGGACCCCCCCCCAAGATGCCCATCCCTGGTTTGAATGCAAGTATGTGTGAAGGTACAGCATGGCTTTGTGGGCTCCCACATTTGCTAGCCATACCTGCCAGGAGCTACAGATGGGTGGAATGTAAAAAAATGACCAGTACATGTAGCAATGTACACACAAAGTATGCATACAGGATCACCTTTGTGCGTGGAGTATTTATAAACATATGTGTCGCTTTCTCAAGCCCATAGATATGGTTAAAGGATAATAGAGCTAGTCTTAATTGGCCCCACCATTCCTGTGCTTCCTTTTATCTCAGGAGGAAGTTCACCTCCCCCCCACACACCCTGACAATAACAGTAATCTTTTTGAAATCATGTGGCTAGGATTGCAGCTGTAATCATATGCATGATGGTAGTAAATGTCATACTCAGTGGGGACATGTGATTCCTTTAAAAAGTCCCAAGGTTTAGCAATTATTTCTTTCAACTTCCATTTTTGTATTGTGAAATGAAAAGAAGCATCCAAAAGACTGCTGGAAAGGATTCTGGCAAGTTGAATTATTATTGGCTATGATTTGTAGCACATTTCTTGAGCTATCCTTCTGTCTGCTGGGAAGAAGCGCATAAAGCACCTGTATTGCTGATGACTCAGCCATGACTCTATTCCTTCATTAGACAGATGCAACCAAGCAGAACTTTGCCTTCACCATCACCGTTACATTTCTGGCTGAAACCTTCTTGGGAGATGGGAGCATAAGACTCTGTAATCTGACACTATAGCATGCCCGTGCTTTGTTCCTGCCTGGGAGAGCACACATCCTGTGATAAGATTCTCTTTGAACATTTTCTTGTGAAGCTCATCACATTCAAGATGGAGCTTGTCCACATAATTTGCCTTCAAAGCTGACACAGGAAAACTTTGCCTGCAGCCCCATTATGTGTTACATGTGCTATTTGTGCTTAAAAATATCCTGTGAGTATACTGTTGTTTCAACAGTAATTCTCACTCCCAAGTGAATTTAGGATCTGGGTTCAGAATAGCAATACTGTATGGACCCTGCAGGCTCAGATATTCAGCTACTATATTTAATTCATCCGGTTTTGTGCAAAAATAGTTCCCCAGACTTGCTCCGTAAGAATGATCACGAGGAAATCTAATTCAGTAAAAATAATAATGATTGCAAATGTATGAATAATCCTTCACTTTTATTTAGATCAATTCTAGTGTTCAAAGTACTTACATGACTAATTTCCAGAACCTGAAGTGCCACCACCCCAAGTAATGTTGACAACAGTTGTCCATGGTAGACCAATGCTACTGTTCTCATAATGGAGAATAAGAAGTGGCCAAGACTGAGAGGTTGTGGCTTGCATCTCATACAGAGTTTGTGGCTAGAGAAACTTTTGAAATGAGAAAATATCTGGTTTGCAGCTCATGGTGGCAGCCCACACACTGCAGCAGCTTGCAAGGACGCAAGTGTCTTTCACTTATTTTCTTCTTGGAAGTGCTCAGAAACAGAGCTAAAAAGAGTTTCTTTTTTGGACAACATCCACCATCCCACAGCATGTCTAGGTTCAAACCACCACTTGGTTATGAAACTCAGTAAGTCACTGGCTTGTGTCACATTCTTTAGGCCTTACTTCCCTCCCTCCAGGGTTCCTGTGAGGTGGAGGAGCTTTGTACACTGCCTTGCATTCATTGGAAGATAGGTGCAATCTAAAAGGAATAAATAAATACGTTTTCTGAATTCTACTCATGAGCAGGATTGGTCCAAGATCTTCCGCTGCCTGAGTGAACGGATGTCATGTACAGAAGGCAATGAGAATGGCAATTAAATCTTACCTCATTGCTAGCAATGGGACATCATCATCCACCCACCAAAGGACAGTGAGCCAGCAAAGAGAGTTCATGTCTCCATGTACATGTATGCCAACATCTCATCAATGTCACACAGCATGAGTTGCCTCCTCATTGCTGCTGGCTGAACCAGCTGCCAATAAGAACACCTTACTGGTAGAAATGTTAACTCCAGCTATAAACAGCTCGTGTTTAATACATAAAACTGATGTATATACCTATGAAGACACAGATTTCTTAGAAATGAAGGCAACCTTCCAAACAGTTCTGTGAAAGATATGGAATGTACTTCAATAACCCCTTAAAACTGCTGAGCAGGGACACTTTTTCTGAAGCATGGGTGTGGCAAAGCTGAATGCATGAAGAAGAACATGCTGCAGCACTGGTGAAAAGCAGAAGCACCATCAGCATTATTTCCTTCCAAAGTGCTGTTACTTCCCTTATGCAGTTCCAAAAGGGAGCTGAGTAGAAAGTGCATATCTGCAGGCAATACACAGAAGAAGAAAGTCCTGTGTTTGCTAATACTCTTCAGTCAGTAATAGGCATCATCTTTAATTCCTTGGCCTGATGATCCAAATTTCCTTCAAAGAGAGATAGCAAATGATTAATCAGCATGTGTTTAAAAACATCTGTCTCATTTGATGAAAAGAATACACAAGCCCTCAGGGATCTCAAGATCCAGGTTTCCAATGATTCAGAAGCTGACACACAGAAACCCCCCACCCCCTTTTTCAAAAATAAAGAACCGTCAGTAATTTCCAAAGTACATATGTTGTTCTCAAGCTTAAAATACAGGAAAAGTTGCTCTGAAAAGGTAATCAGGGCAGGGTATTGAAAACAACTTAAAACAACATGGTATCACAAAAACAATATGAAATCTTAATCTCAGCAGCAGAACTGAGAGGCATGTTAACTGGTTCAGTCATCTAAAATGATACAAATATGAAGATAAAAGAGAGGTTTGATACAAGAACTATCCTGCTCCCCAGCAGCAAAAGGTTCCCTCCAGGTGTACTTCTCAAGGCTGGTATTTTGATTATTGGATCACAAAGAAAGCCCTTCTCTATTGTAGATTATGCATGTTTTATGTTTCAGTAGCATACGTGAATCATTTAAAATGCTACTGCAATATTTCTAAATATTTAGTAGTTTCTTTTATCTGTAACTTGGAAAAGTTAGTTTTCTGGTTGCTATGTGCCATCAAGTTGCTTCCAACTCATGGTAACTCTAGTAAGGGTTTCAAGGAATGTGAAAAGGTCAGGCCGTGGTTTCTCTGGCCCAGCAGGGGCTTTAACCCTGGTCTCCTTAGCTGAGCACTGCAACCATTTCACACCACATTGGTTCTCATATAAAGACAGAAACATAACAAATATAATCCTAAACAGTAGTTAGGCATCCTTCAGTTTCGAGAGACTATAGTAACGTGTTCTGTATGGAGGACTTGGAACAATGTCTAGTGTGGCTGAGGAGGCCAATTTGAGAGTGACAATCCCTTCCACACTGAAGACAAATACTATCTGTCCCCTGTCCATCTCCCTGATTTTGCTGCTTTTGGGACTGCCTCTTTGCCTCAGCCTGCTGGAAAATTGTCTCTTCAAACTGGGAGAGGCCGTGATGCAACACCTGCCTCCAGGATGAATGCTCAGACGTCAAGGTTTCCCATCTGTTGAGGTCTATTCCTAAGGCCTTCAGATCTCGCTTGTAGATATCCTTGTATCACAGCCATGGTCTCCCTCTGGGGCGATTTCCCTGCACTTATTCTCTATACAGGAGATCTTTTGGAATCTGACCATCAGCCATTTCTTTTAAAATTATGGAGAGGCAACAGATTATTTAAACAGTAGGGACTCCTGAAAGACAGCAGGATAAGCATACTGTATGTACTAGAGCAGAAGTAGGCAACCAGGGCCCCTTCAAGAGCTTTCAAAACCCCAGACCACAGCCTGTCATGTCTGATGGGCTGATGGGAAGTGTAGTCCAAGCACATTTAGAGGGCATTCTGTTGTGCTAGAGGTTTCCCAGGTCACTGTATTTTGTTTGGGCTTCAGTTATGCCTAGTACCTGTTTCACATGGACACACTGAGGAGAGAGAATGCTGTCAGAAGACTCGGAATAATCACTGAGAGATCAAGGAACCAGCAATAGCATGTAAGGGAAATGGCTGGAAGCAACAAGTCCATGGTAGAAAGGAGAACAAGCAAAATTACGGTGCCAGTTCCTAGATTCTATAGGTCCAGTTCCATTCAGTGTAAGCACCAAGGGGGATGGGTTGCAGCTATAATCCTTCCTTATGCACTGCCAGGGCTTCTGCTATTTCCCAAAACACATTTTAAAATAATGTAATGAAAAAGTATAGCAAAATTGTGTTACTTACTCCTTGTTAATGTGCCTGGTTTTCTTCTTTTGCCTGGTAGAGAAAACAAAGAACATGTTGATAACAGTCTTCCTGGAAATATATAGATATTTCACATTTGTACAGCAGAGTCTTTCCATACATTTATTTAGCAATATCACTTTTTATAACCTTCACGAAGAGGAAGAAGAAAAAGAGAGGTTACTTACCTGTAACTCTGGCCATCTGTCAACTCACACTATAGGGTTTATTCTGTGCTTGCACAGAGGTTTCTGAAATATTCTAGAGCTTTAGCACACGTTCACCAGGACTGCCCCCCTAGTGCAAGTGGTCCACCCACCTTGGCGATTGCCTCAGTTCCTAAGAACAGTCTGCCACTGTACAGAACCAGAGTTACAGGTAAGTAACCTCTCTCTCTTCTTCGTGGTCTCTGTGAATGCACACTATAGGGTGATTAGCAAGCTGACTTACCAGAGGAAGGACGTCAGGGAAGTACAGATGACAAAATGGCTCTGCCAAAGGTATCATCCACTCTGGCCCTGACATCAAGGCGGTAGTGAGTAGCAAATGTAGTTGGAGTAAACCATATTTGCAGCTTTGCAAATATCTGGAATGCCAATACCTTTTTAAAAAGCCATGGAAGCAGCAACAGCTCTGGTGGAATAAGCTGTGAGAGCGGATGGTAATGGCTTGTGAGCGAGGTTGTAAGTGAGCCATATTGTCATGATGATCCAGTGGGAAACAGTTTGTAATGAAATAAGGGATCCTCTATTGGGCCAATGGGGAGTGACAAAGAGTCTTTTAGATTTGCGAAAGGAGGTTCTGGAAACATAGAACAGCAGAGTCCACAAACATCAATGTAAAGAATGTTCTGTGTCATTAGATGGCGAGGGAAAAAATGTAGGTAAAATGATGGGTTGTTTGATGTGAAATTCAGAGATAACTTAGGTAAGAAGGAGACATCCGGATAGAGAGTGACCTTCTGAGGGTGAAACTGGAGAAAGGGTGGATTGACATGGAGTGCAGCAAGCTCGCTAGCTTGGCAGGCTGAGGTAATGGCAATGAGAAATATGATCTTGAGGAAAAATAGAAGTTGCCACCAGTGGCTCAAAGGAAGGTAGAGTGAGGCGTTTTAGGACAGTGTGTAGGGACCATTACGGAGGAAAAGACAGGTGTGATGGTTGAATGTTGGTGAGACCTTTGAGGAATTGCTTGAGAGTGGGATGATGGAATAGTGTGGCAGCATCAGAGTCTTGCAGTTAGTGTGAAATTATGGCAGCTATGTAGACCTTGAGTGTGGACAAGGAAAGGTTACGATGGAAAAGATGAAGCAAAAACACTAACAGCACATCAAGAGTTCTTGGCTGTGTTTGAGTGTGAACTTAAAGAAAGTGGGTTTCTGTGTGGGATTGTATCAGATTTGACTTTTCATCTCTGTTTTTTGTGTTGTTCCAACCCAAACCGAAGAAATGAACATGTGAGTACCAAAACATTTAAAACTGCAAAATTTTTCTGAGAGGAGGGTTGCATTTTCTGACAGAATTGCAAGGGTGCTTGTGCAGCTACGCTGGTGCTTGGGCGCATGTGCAAACGGCGGTGCAGTGCTTGTGTGGGCATGTGAGTGCATGTGCAAAAGGGTGGGGGAGCTGTCATGCAAGTGCTAGAACGTTTGTGCAGGTGCAAAGGAGCTGTGCAGGGGGGGAGTGCGTGCAGGCGTGTGTGGGACTTTTGCCTCCACAGCCATGGACTGGCACCAGGCCACAGACCAGGGGTTGGGGACCTCTGAGGTAGATGGCATGTCAGTTGATAGGGTTGGGATGAAGGAATGTGTGCTATCCCTCTGAGGTGGTTGAGGTTGGAGAGAGCGTTCTCAGAGGAAGGATCGGAGATGCTTTTGCCTACGTTTAAGTGCCTGCTTAGTGAGGTTTTTACAGGCCTGGCACAAAGAAGACTGATGGGATTCTCCAAGGCAGAAGATACATGAGTTGTGTCCGTCAGAAAGGGAAATCTTATTGGGGCAAGAGTCACACCATTTGAAAGGCCCTGTTAGGGCCATAAAATGCAGGAAGGGAAACCCCCCCCCCCTTATTTGTGGTCTGGAAAGAAGAGGGAAGTACATCGTAATTTTCTTACTCTTTTCTCCCTTTCATTCTTTTTCTTTTTTAAACTCACAAAGAGAAGAAAGAAGAAGAGGGTGCTTCTTGTCGAGAAATGAAGCCTCAGTGGTGGCAAAAAGGAACTGAGGGAATCGCTAGAACGGACGGATACCACGTGTACTAGGGGGGTGGTCCTGGTAAACGCATGCTAAAGCTCTAGAATATTCCACAAACCTTATTGCAAGTGCAGAATAAACCCTATAGTGTGCATTTACAGAGACCATGAAGAAGAACCAGCCTTAGCTGCCTTATAACAATGTTCCTCCATTAACAGTATTCTTAGAGCTGACTGTCTTCTGTAATTGCACTGCAAAATCAGGGAGATTTCAGATACTGCATTCTGCATGAAGTTCAGTTACATATTAAGGGAAAGATAAGATGCAGTAGGAAAGCTATCATAATATCAGAAGCAACAATGTAGCTCTGGATCCTTAAACTGAATATCTATTTTTAAGTACCTCCCATTCTGTTACTGCTAGAGAAATATGGAAAGCAAAGCAGTGAAACAACACCCATCAAGTAGTCTTAACACTTTTGTTTACTGGAAAAACTTCATAGTGGTTTAGTTCCACTTTGTACAAAATGAGTTTGAGTCAGTCATTGCTAATTAGTATGATCCATCTCCTAGAGCAGCATTTTCTCAAGATAAAGAGGTTGATATGAGAAAAAGAATATTATTTATTTATTTAATCCATAATTGAAAGTACAGTGCGGCAGGGGGGCACATGGATCAAGAGGAGGGGGTGTTATACCTCTCAGTTTTGGGGAAGATGACCTTCCCTACCTTGCACTGGGAATGAACTTCTATCAAGCTACCGAATTGATGTTTACATGTGAATGAAAACTTGTAAATGAAACTTTCTTTTCAGCTAGTATGTAAACTGAACCACACCCATAAATATGTTAATGTTAAACATCTTCCAGAAGAAAAAGCATTCAAGTTATCAAATGATAAATGGATTGCTAAATAAGGGAAATAGAACATACTGATCTCTTACCTTTTTGGATACATCTGTCTGTGAATCGTTTTCGCTTTACAGTTCTGAAGATGAGTATCATTAGAAAACATAAGGCTAACAGGCAAATTGGTAGGATAAATGAGATTAAATATTTTTCCTCAGTTTCTGGTTCATTTGTAGTAACTGTAAATGAGAACACCCATCTCAATTATTTAAGTACAAAATCGGGTCCACTGCCAAGTTGCACCAAAGAACTCAATGATTATGGGAATATCAGTTGTTTTTCCTACTGATCATGAGCCACTGCCATCAAGAGTAAAGGTTGTATGGGAGGGCAATTATGGTGCACCCAACACCTACTATGTAAGTGCTCAAGTCATCTTTGAAAGAATTCCCCATGACAGCTGGTTGCAGAGAATCAGCAGAAGCCAAATTCTTTATAGACTTCCATTCCTTATGCCTGAACAACATCCTAGCACAGTAATTGTCCTTGCTGGAATGAAAGCTGTCAGGAACGATTTCCTATGTACAATAAGGTATAACTCTAGATGTCTACCTAGAAACCAGAGCCAGTGGATGGATGCTTATCTGTTCCTTTTTCCTTCAAATAATCTCTGATTATTCAGATATTTACATTACCCACAACACTAGAGGGCAGTTATGACCCTTCAAATGTTTTTTGGCCTACAGCTCCCACCAACTCTCACCAGCATGGCAAACATTAAAGGGTGATAGAGATTTGTAGTCCGAAAACACCGGGAGAACTACAGCTGCCAACCCTTAATCTCTGAGAACTGGTCGAAACAAAGGAAAGAGAGAAATAAATTAGATGGTAACCAAATATTGCTTTGGGGGGGCAGGTGCTGTATAATCCTTTTGAGTGATACAAAACTGGTAAGAAAAACATAATTTTAATTCAATATGTCCCTTTTGTTACATTCTCAAGCTTCTGCAGGGCTAATGAAAAATCAACGTTTTGCTTTCAGTCAGCTATGTAAAAGAACAAGGGACAAGGACCAATAGGAAAAGCAAATAAACAGAAGGTGGAGAATGTAGTAGTTTACACCTCTCCTCATGCTGATCTGCAGTCTCTGTTTTGCAAGTCATTTGGCCCGCAGAGACAATGGCCCCTACTTCCTTCCAGAGTTTTGGACTTTTTCCATCATCTCCAGTCCCCCCAAATTTATTCTACCTGATCCTGAAGATGAGTTCCAGAAAACTTAAAAGTTTGCCACATTTGTGCCATTTTAGCAGCTCAATCATAATATTACTCAACCTGGAATTTTCTTTTACTCATGTGTTTACCTTTTGTTTTTCACTTTGTATGTGTGTGTGTGACTCATTTTTAAGGTGACCATTTTGGGACTTCCCTTGCCAGTCATTGATATCAGATAGAAAGCAGGACTTTCAAACCCAGAGGCTGCTCAGTAGGTAAGGCAATACATTGAATCCAAGCCTTCTGAGTTTCACATAGGGGCTCTTGGGCCAAAATGTAGTCAACTATTACAAAGTGAAGCAAGGAAAATTCTTGCATCGTGCCTAGTGTCTTTCTTTGATACCTTTCTGCAAACCACAAATCACTTTATAGGTCTAATAGGTGTCTGCTGACCTCTTACCCTCTACATTCCTGGCAAGCAGAGACATAAGAATAGAAGAGTAACCAATGAATTCAAGAAACCAGTAAATGAGGGAACGAGCCCAGGAGGGCACATTTTAAGAGTTTTCCAAAACGTAACACCTAAACTAAAGAGTTTTCAGAAATTTAACACCTAGATTTCTGGCTTGAAAGTGTCACTGCTTTGTATGGCAACTCCCAGAAATCCACATGAACAAGAACTGTGTTGATTGAAGGATTCTGTGGGTTGCCACCTAAAAAAGTGACTTTCTAAGCTTTGCTGGATCCTTTAAATCCATTGCAACTGGTGCGCAATAGCAAAGAAGTACAGCAGCAATACTTTGGACTTACTGGAGCTAATAATCCATGCCATTTTTTTCCAGAGAGAAGAAAGTGGCATGGTGGTGCCATCATTGCTGGTGATGCATATGGTTTTTCCCCACTGAGCTGTTGACTCTACTCAAACAGGATTTTGGAGAATCTGTTTGGCTGGTGATTAAAAGAAATATCTATGCATCATAACCAAGAAGGATGAGGATGATTCACATAACTGAAACCACATTTCTCACTGTATAGCCCCAGGAGACTCTCCAGGAAGATTAGCGAAAAGAAATATAGCATTTATTTCAGATCTGTACTATCAGGAAGGGAAACATTATGGTTTCCATGTGGCTCCTGGATCACTCAGGCAGAATTTCCTGCCCTCACCTCAGTATCCTCCCACATGACTTTTCGTGCAACAACTTCTGCTCAGCTTCTGCTGAGAATTTGAGAGGCAAAAGAATAGAACTGAGCATCTGGAATTCCTCAACCATTCACGTGAGCAAGCCTTTCTTACTAGCAGGATACCATTGTTCTATGTCAAGGGTGATTTCAGACATAAGGACTGCCATATGTTCCTGTTCTATGCAAAGCCTGAAGTGGAGTAGCCACTCCATTTCCAAATCTCTGAAGCTCAAGTGAGATCAGACAACTCCTTCCTTCCCTTCTCCTCTCCCTGCCCCAGATTTTGGCTGGGGTGGGTATTATCTCAAGTCCACAACAACTGGGGAAGCAAAGGAGGCTGCCTCTTAGTAACACTTTCTTTTTTAATATAGATTGATACATTTGCAAAAACAAAAACTGGAAAACAACAATTAATGTAATAAGCAATTTATTGAATTGCCTGTCTGACCATCTGTAGTGCAATAGTGACAGTAAAATATTACCCTGTGCAAAGGCATACTTTAAAAAGTAACTTTCTGTGCTCTAAGACAGTGGTTCTTAACCTTGGGTTATTCAGGTGTTTTTGGACTGCAACTCCCAGAAGCCTTCACTACCAGCTGTGCTGGCTGGGGTTTCTGGGAGTTGCAGTTCAAAAACACCTGAGTAACCCAAGGTTAAGAACCACTGCTCTAAGACATTCATGAGCCTGTTTCTAATAAACAAACAAATAGACATTTCCATCTAATTAGCCTGACCAAAACTGGTAAGACCATTAAATCCAGAGCCTTCACTGACTTAGCTGCACCACTGAGAGCATTTTATACAAGCCACAGTTAGTTGGGTTCTAAAAAAAAGTTACTGGGTTACTGAGATGTTGCACAATAGCTTATCTGCATTGGGGAAACAGAAAATCTGTTCCATTGTGTTAAAAATGGGATATTTTCTGCTGGGGGAGACAGGAACAGAATCTACAGTGGAAAAACATGGGGAAAAGATATTTTGCCCATGATATCATGCAGGCACTACAGAGAAGGCAAATGTACGAAGCTTGTGGTTCTCCATAGTAAATGCCCAGTGTGGAAGCAGCCTAGGACTCAGTTCCTATTCTGGGTCATGGAGAAAAGGGAAGCTAGAACTTGCTCAGGTCCTAATGGAGACCCTGTATGCAGCTGTCACAGGGCTAGGCATTGCCAAGTAGCCTGGGCAGTCTGAACAACAGAGGCCTTCATCTCCAATCCACCTGAAGCTATCTTGCCTACCTGTGCTCCCCTTGATAGAGGAACCCCCAATAAAGAACCACTAAGATGTAGCAGTGACACCATGACATAAGCACTGTAGCTTCTCTTTCCTTCCCATGTGACACTTGCAGTAACACTTATCAGTGGAGTATGAACAGTGTTGTACTAATCTCTGTGAGGAAATTAAAATATGGTTTCCTTGTTATCCAGTGCTATAGTCATGATAGATGTGTTATAAAAAGACATAAGCACAGTTAAACACATAAACACAATACAGAAAGGATTGCAAATAATGTGTGGTGTCCAGAGACCTTTCTGAGGCAGAATTATTGTAGGGTAAAAGCTGCGTCGGGAAGTATCCTGAGTCACAGGAAGAGGCAAGACTCCACCACAGTAGTGGAGATAGAAAATGATTAGTTTTGCTCTTCTAAGAAAGCTCAGATCCCCAGGAATCCAGAATACCACAGTAGTGGAGATGGAAAATGATTAGTTTCGCTCTTCTAAGAAAGAAAGCTCAGATCCCCAGGAATCCAGAATCTCTTTAAAAATATATATATTGCATGCTAAAGATATGAGTTTACAGTTGGGGTCCAATGGCATCCACCGCCACTCCAAGAGAGGGAAGCAAAGGCTGGGCAAGTCTCCTTGTGGTGTCTGCCTCAGCAGGCAAGGTAACGTTGCCTCCTCACTTTGCCCACCCGTATTTTCCTCAGACCTCTGTTCCTTCATCTTATGTTTTAGTCCACTGCCTGCTATGCTCCTTTCCTTCTGCTCGCCTGTGCCTTTGTGCTTCTAGCCCATTTCCTATGATATCTTCCCTCTTTATATTCCCAGTCCTCAATTTCCAGTCTGCATATGTAGCCCATTCTATCCTTATGGCTCTTCAGAGGTCATAACCTAAACCAAATAGATCTTTCACTTTCCTCACCAAAGATGAATAGTTTGGTAACATTCTTATGTTGGGATTTTAATTTATTGGGTTTTCAGGACATTAGTTTTAGTCATTATACTGTAAGTCAGTTACCCGTGAGAGGTGTCACCACTGCAAAATTCCATGTATGATAATGCAGATTCTACATATAGATATATGTATGAAATGAGAATATCCCCATGTATATTGATCCTATATAATCAAATCCCAAAAGATTAATTTGAAGTTAAAGGTAAATGTTTACCTAATCCAGATACTGATGCATGGACTGATGTTTTTTCCTTCAGTTCCTTATTCCAGAACACACAGGTGTAATTTCCAGGAATGTTTGATTTGACTCTCAGCGTGCTGGTTATGTTGAAAACTCCATCCGTTGTCAGTTTTTGTGTAGTGACTGCAAACATGCTGACATTCTGATTGTTCTCATCGTACCAAGAAACTTCAGCGAGTGGGTACCCTTCTGATTCACAGGTTAGGACCAAATTGTTGTCTTCTCTTTGTTCCTGGAGATCTATTTTCTTGTATGGTGCTGGATAGGAAAAAGTGGGGTACAAGGAAAATTTTGTTGTTTTCCCACGATTTGGGCAGCATTGTTTCATTTTCTACTTCTTGGGCTGGTTTACCCCATAACTATATTAGCAAACGCACCATGTGCTGAATCTGGGCCATACTAGGCACAATCATAAACTAAGTATTTGCCTTTGACAAGTACATCTTTTACACATCAAAACAATAGGACCCTTCTCTCCCAATACAACAGACTGAGGCAAAGAACAGGGTACTGTCCTATTCCAGTTTGTGGGGGAAGGAAGAGCCAGTGGGGCTTGTAGTTAAAGCACTAGCAGTGGCGGCTCATCCATTAACACTGAGCTGGGTGGTGCCTCACCTCAGGCTCACAATACATTGAGCCATTCCATTCTTATTTGCCTCCTTATGGGAGGAAGGACAACAGACCTCTGGAAATATGTACATGTGAATGTTTGCTCTTTGTGTGTGTGTGTGTGTGTGTGAGAGAGAGAGAGAGAGAGAGAGAGAGAGAGAGAGACGAACCCACTATTGCCACTGTTGGTTGGTCTGCCCACCAACCACAAGGGGCATCCTCTACCACAGAACACCAAGAGGCAGGAAACTAGCTTGGGAGATGCTAGGCAAGTTATACAGGTATTTGCTCCAACAACTCAAATCTGTTTCTGGAACCAAGTGCTGCTTATGATCTAGAAAAATGCAGGTAGCTTGGGTCCAGGCTATTTGAGGGAATATGTCTCTCCATGAGTCTCCAGTCTTTGGGATCTTTTTGTTTTTTTAGATGCTGGCTCCAGTGGCATAGCAAGGGGGGGCTACAGGGGTGGTCACTCTGGGTGCAAAATTCTTAGGGATGTATGGGCCGCC